AATCCAGGAACTTACCTGAGGTTACACTGAAAGCACACTTATTCGTGTTTAACTTCAAATTATGCTTTCTCAAAACATTGAACACAAGGCTTAAATCGGAAATCAAATCTTTTGAAAAAAAGAGTTTTTACAACCATGTCATTTACATAGCACTCTACTTTATCTCCAGTTAAATAAAAAAAACAAAATTAACAAGACGCTAGAAGGTCGCCCCAGCATTTTTCAAACCAAAGGGCACGACCTTGTAACAATACAAGCTCATTTCAGTAATCAAAGCAATCTTCTCCTAGTCTTCCAAATCCATCAGGATCTGGTTATAGCCTGAATAGGTGTCAATGAAGCTGAGCAGCTCAAATCCTGAGGTCGCATCCACCAGGCGATCTATGCTTGGTAGGGGAAAGTTGTCTTCCGGGCAAGCTCGGTTCAGGTTCATATAGTCTACACACATTCGCCACTTGTCGTTTGCCTTCTTCACTAGAATAGGATTTCCTATCCAGCTCGGGTATTGGACTTCCTTCATGAAGTACGCTGCCGGCAGCTTTCCCACCTCCTCGTCTACTACCTACCACCTTTCCAGGGTGAGGTTTCTCTTCCTTTTCCGGACGAGTCTAACTGTAGGGTCAACGTTGAATTTATGAGTTATTAGTCCAGGGTCAATGCCGGGCATTTCTACAGCCGACCAAGCAAACAAATCTAAATTACTTAGTAAGAAACTTACCAGCTTGGAGCGTAGAGGTTCTGTTAGGCGAGCTCCAATTTGTAATGTCTTCTCAAGTTCTGCCTTGGAGATGGGGACCATAATGGTCTTTTCCGTTGGGCGAGCTCACTCTTCAGTATTTTCCGGTGGAGGCTCCGGGTCTATATCTGGGGCAATCTTTCCCCTCGCTTTCAATGTTGCCACATAGCATTTTCTGGACTCCAGCTGGTCCCCGCGCAGTACCCCTATGCTAGTATTTGTTGGGAACTTTAATGCTAGGTGGTATGTCAAAACGATAGCTCATAGGGTGTGCAAGATTGGTCGTCCCAATATTGCATTGTAGGGGGACAAGGTGGCAACTACCAGAAAATCGTGTTCAAAGCGTATTGTATGAGGTGAGGAGCCTGCCTTGATGGGCACTCTTACTTTGCCCACAGGGCGGACTACTTCTCTGTTGAAGCCTACCAGCGGGATGTCAGCTGGCTGCAAGTCTACCTTACCGAGTTCCATTTGTTTGAAAGCTTCCAGAAACAAAATGTCTGTTGAGCTGCCAGAATCCACCAAAATTCTCTTCACCCTGAAGTCATTAATCTATAGCTTAATTACTAGGGCATCGTCGTGTGGGTACTGGATCCCACACATATCATCATCAGTGAAGTAGATCACATCTTCCCTCCAGGGATGCTTGGACGGAACGTTGTCCTCCCATACTGAATTCTTCCATGCTGATGTTGTATAGCAAGCAACGATTGAACCTCCTGTGATCATGTTAATGGTCCCTCAGACATGTCTCTCTTGCTGCTGGTTACGGGGAGCTGGCTCCTGCTCCCTGCTAGCCTAGGGTACTTCCTTCCTAGTTCCTTCCTCAGGTCGCTGGTCATCTTGGATGAAGTGTCTCAGGTAGCCTCTTTTAATGTGATCTTCAATCTCATTCTTCAAATTCCAAAAATTTTCTATGTCATGGCGTACGTCTTTGTGCAAATGGCATTATTTGTTCGGGTTCCGGGTGGTACGGTCCCCCTCATCTTGGGTGGCCATTTCACATAGTCGTTGGACTTGATCTGCATCAAAATTTCCTCTCTCTTGGTGTTTAAAGGAGTGAAGGTCTCGGTATATGCTAGTGACATTGCTAATCGCTTGCTTGTACCCCTGTCAGGGGCCAATAGGGTTTCTCGGGTCAAGCAAGGCGATTCAGAGAGGGTCACCTGCTTGCTAGTAGCAATGTTGTTTTCTCCATGCTAGGCTTCACTGCTAGCGCGAGCGAGCTGAACCTTTTTCCCAGCGCGGTGCATGCGCTTTTTGTGCTTCCTCCTGGTGCCTTCGGTTGAACTGCCGGCTTCAGTTCCGGAAGGGACCTCAACTCAACTTTTTGCTGGTACTTGGTCATTTCGGGCTGCACCTTCAGTGCGGTCTCGATCATCTTCTCTGTTAGGGACCTAAACCTGGCTAAAAACTCGTGGGTGAGCTGGTTCTTCATGGTTGATCTAGTTCAGGCCATTGTTCTAGGGCGGCACCTATTGGTTGTTCCGGGGTACTTTCTAGCTATTCCAAGGTACTTGTTGTCCGTTGAGCTGCACTTGTTGGTGACTGTTCTGCGGTATCTGTTGGCTGTTCCGTGGCTACTACTGCAAGAGTGCATGTGGGAAGCGCAACTGCTGGTGTTGTTGCTGCTGTTGTCCGGCCATGAAGGTGAATCTGTTTTCCCAAGTTCTGAGTTGCTCAGTCATGCTCTGCACGCATCACACCAGGTTGTTGAACTACTGTACATCAACCGCCACGAGGGGTGCTACGGGATAGACCTCAGGGGGTGGTACATTCATGTGGTCTTGCTCTTCGGCCGGATGTAAAGGGACATCAATCTGGCCTATGGTGATGGTGGGGATTTGGCCATTGACGTTGTTAGTAGAAGGGTTGCTTGAGGATGTCATTGACGGGTTTCAAAGAGAGATATAAGAAGGGAACTCTAGCTTTTTGTTGTGTTTCCCACAGACTGTGCCAATTGATGATGTGCAATCTAGACGCTCCCTCGTGTCAGGTGACAAGGCTCGAACAAGAGTCCAATCTGGCAGAGCCGAGCTGCACTGCTGAGTTGTTATCTGAGTGTCCGAGCTGAGAACGAGTTGCAAGGAAGAGATGGGTGAGAGTGCCTGGGTATGTTTACCCCGGGAGAACACTATGATGCTTAAGTCAGAAAGGGGGTTGTAAGAATTCTCTTAAGAGTCTGAGAGAGCTAAGTATATCGGTGTGCATACCTTTTTTTGTAGATTTGAAACCCTTTTATAGTTATCTGGGGTTCAGGTGCTTTGGGCAACGTTTCTGAGCCTTGGTCGGAGCTGTTTCCGCAATATGAGGCGTGTTAACATGTCAGTTGCTAGATTCCCGCGGCGGTTACAGGTCACTCGCGGGACTTGTGGCGCACGCTTCAGCGAGCTGCTCCTATGGTCGTGGTAACAGTGCCCACGAGGGGGTGGCGCGTGGAATGGTTTGGGCGAGCTCGTGTTGGCGGTGGCTCAAGCTCGCCCCAACTCGACAGCCTACCTGAAGTTGGGTAATACATGCTGATTCGTCGAGCTGGCCTGCTGACTTGCCATTGCACTGCCAACAGCGTCCACATGTCGTTATTTGTGTGGAGGGACCAAAATTCCCCTCATCAGTCAATATTCTTTTTTTTTATATTCTTTCATTTTATAACCCCTCGAAAGTTTTGAAACCCCATATTGAACTATTATTCTTGTATCCATGCATTTCGAGGTCTACCACTACAGATACAAGGCTTATCGAAGCTTATTGAATAATGGATATTTTGGTCCATTGTTTGTAAGCTTTTAACCACACGCATGTGATCAGAAGACACTCTTTGATCATTTTTCATTGTTGTGAGCCAGAGTTAGGATTTGGATTTTGGAGAGCAATTTCTCTAAACAGGCATTACAAATTCTATCCTTCATCCATCTTTGAAAGCCTAGTTATGTACTGCATTGTAATGGCTGTACACACTATATACTATTTTGTTCCCAAAAAAAAAGATTAAAGAGTATATCAGTCCCACTTTCACCTTGCGATTGTTTAATCAATGGCTAAGTGAGGCCGAGGGGCACAACAGATTCCTCTTGATCTTGATACACACTGCCTGTACAATGTGCCCGAGAGCGGGGTTATGTGCTAAGGAAATGGAGAAAACATGTTGAATTTAATATTAATTAGCCTTCCATGCATACCGAATTTGTTAATTAATTAGTTATGTTTATTAATTAATATTTCATTCTTAAATGTTACTATAATCTCATCTTATCTATCAATAATTATAATTAGAGTGCAAGTAAAAGAAGAGTCAGAAATAAATTATAATTAACTTTGAGGTTGATGCATGGTATATAAATTAATACTAAAGATTTCTTACTCTGCAACTTGCACCAACTAGTTTTTTAAACATTCCGAAGCTACTCGAAGAATTCGACAAGTGAATATCTACCTTCCACTGCACGATTTCAAAGTGAAGCTTTTGTGGTACGTAAAGGCTCAGTTTGGAAATACAAATATGTAGAGTGTAAATTAATACAGGTTTAGAAATACGAAATACAAGGCTTTACACGGTATATATTTGTTATTCTTTCTAAATTGAGCCAAATTAAACAATTAATTAAAACAAACCCGATGATGAGTAAATATATATACCAGAATCCAAATCCAAAAGGACTCACATTCACATTCACAGTTTAGCACCATTCAGGCCTTAATTACCAACAGTACTAGTGTACTACTCCTAGTAAACGCCTTCATGCATTAATTCGTCAAACTTCCATTGGCATTTCATCAAATGGGTAATGGGCAATTAGATTAAGCAGTCTTTCAGCACAGAGGATAGGCTTAACCTCGCAATTGCATGATCATTTGGTCAGCGCATCCCTAGCCTGTTCGTGTAAATTTCGCATAAACTCGAACATTGTTGATGCAGCAAACATGCACATGACCCACTACTTATGAATTTTGATAACCCTTCCCCCACCCACCTTAAACAAAACTTTTGCATTAATACCTCACACGTGAAAATCCAAAGTCAGAGACGTATACCATACATCATACATGTACCAAATACAGATCAATTTCTGCACACCGACTCGATCATCATCAATAATCCATCACTGTCCCACCGATCACAGGGTTCTTTTCCGGCTAATGTATCACTATTTATTTATTAATAGTAATACCCATCATGCATATATAAGAAGGGATGCTGCTCTACATTGGATCTATCCATCACCAGTTGATCACCACAACTCTGATTCTCTGAAAAACCAGAGAGATGGAAGCTGAATCGGTTAGAGGCCCATCTTCTTGTTGCATTCTTCTAGCCTTTCTCTTTCTGATGGTCTTTAGCTCATCAAACATGAAGACCTGCACCTGCTTAGCGACAAACACTAGCAACCCCAACACCACCGATTTCATTCGAACTTCCTGTGGTGTGACTACGTACCCCCAGCTTTGTTACACTTCTCTCTCTTCCTTTGCAAGTTCCATCCAAGCCAACCCTAGGAAGCTGGCTCAAACAGCACTCAACATAAGCATAACAAGCGCCCAATCCACATCAGTCTTGGTCTCCAAGTTATCACAACGCCGTGACCTGAAGACTTGGGAGGCGGCCACCGTGAAGGACTGCGTCGACCAAATTGAGGACTCCATTGATGAGCTCAAGCAGTCTCTAGAGCAGTTGCAGAAGCTGGAGGGACCTGGCATTGATTTCAAGATGAGCAACATAAAGACATGGTTGAGTGCAGCTCTGTCGAATGACGAGACATGTATGGACGGCATCGACGGCAAGGACATCAACGAGGAGGTCAACAGCACGATCAAGAAGAGTATTCTTAACGTTGCCAAGCTCACCAGCAATGCTTTGGCCATAATCAACCATCTCACCTAACACCCAGTTGAAGTCATCACCCTAGCAAGCTAAAGCTATGGTTCTTGGTTCTTGGTTCATACCCATGTGATGTATTGAAATTAAATGTATATTAATGAGCCCTTCGAATTGATGCTCGTGGTATATAATATTTTTATATTTACGGCATTCAGTGCCTCTAAGCTTGGTGTCTGTATGAACAACTTTTGCTAATTATCATCATTAATTCTTCAGACAGTTAATGTCTCCTCAGCGGCTAGTTGGTCACTGTCCAGCAAAAGAATGGTTGTTTAAGTTTGATCTGGTGAGCATTTAGGTCAAATCTCCTAGGACTAGCTAGGAGAGTTTCAACGGCCCCAAGTTGAGATCCAGAGCCTATTAAACTCTCCACGAGTTGCATTCTAAGAAACCGGAAGCCACTTGAAATCGCAATATCAGACCATTATTACCACTAACATTTTATTTGATTTATCAATTTCATTTACAACTTTAGACAAAAAGAAAAAAAAAAAGGACGAAAACGTGGCTATTAGCTAAAACATAGTGGAAATTAAAGACTTGTTAAGCAAAAATCTTAAATGGGAAAATTATAGGAGTTTGCTTCAGTTTACTCCATCGGTTACAAGATAATATTAGAAGTTGTTTTCAGACAATTGGAATCAAAATGCAAATGATTTAGGGTTTGTTTGGTTTGCAGTAAGAATCAGAATTGGAATTGGAATCGGAATCGGAATCAGAATTCTTCAGAATGAGAATTAGAATGGTATATTCCTATAGTATGTTTGGTTCAGACAGGAATGAGAATGAGAATTAGAATCAGTATGAATGAGATTAATTTCATTCCCAAGTGAGGGGCAGGGAATGGTCATTCCCTCAAATGGGGAATGCCATTCCAACAGGAATGGTAATGAGATTCCGATTCTGCCCAACCAATCAGTTGGAATCGGAATAGCCCATTCTGATTCCGGTTCCAGACCCCTATTCCAGCAAACCAAACAGAGTCTTATTCTCTTTACCTGTTTGTTCAGATAATAATCAGAATCAGAATCAGAATAATCTGATATCGAATTCTCATTCCCAATAGAGGGGAGGTAATGTTCATTCCCTTAAATGGGAGAATATCATTTCACCAAGAATGGAATTGAAATTAAATCCCCATTCCACCCAACTAAATAGTTGGAATTGAAATGAGTCATTCTGATTCCAATTCCAAACCCCTATTCTTGTATGTCAAATATATCTTAATTTTTTAAAGGTCAGACTCAAATGGGACTAAAAACCAAAATGCTCATTGGGTCACAGTCTTACAGATTAACCAGATGGTTAGTCCATTCAAGGGAAAATCTAGGATACTAAAAAGATACAGTATCAAAAGAGCTTTAAGTAATCAAAAGTACTGTTGTTGATTGACCGGAACCCACAATATAATGGTCACTAGGTCACTAGGGAGATGTTTGAAACCGTGGCCCTTTTTCGAAAAGAACAGTGCCACATCAGATCCACATAGGCATTTCAACAAACGCCCATGTATCTCATTGTTTGGTTCATCCGATTATTAAAAAATTAGGCATGCCTCGAAAATCGGGACCCCACCGATGCATGAAACGCTAAATTTGGCATTTCATGCATAGGTGAACCGTTTCCCCCAATGGTTGACTGATGTGTATCCTATGTGGTGCTTACTTGTCGCTACATACATGAAAAACAGTGATGAAAATCACCTTACCAAACAGCATAGTATTGCTCACTGCCTACGTGGCAAAAGCATTTTTTTGTAAAAAACGGGTTTTGAAAGTATGAACATTTTTTCTTAAAAATCGGTCCCAAAAAATGCCCACACTTCCAAGCACCATGTAGATTACCGAGTCAATCATATAATTTGATCCGAATCCCACAACATTGGATAATGCCCTCTTTTGCGCCTACCTACCCTTTGCATCCATATTTTAGGGTGGAGAAGTAAAAATAAATTCGGATTTGCTCCTTACAAAATGTGAATCACGTTGCAACCATCAATTTAGAATATCTCCCAGGTTGACAGTATACAAGTATAGGACATATTCCCCATCTGTGGCGGCAAATGTGTGAGTTGGTGTGAGGCACACTCTCCGAGGAACAAATCCGGATTTTGAAAAAAATAAATAAATACACAGCATTTTATTTCTCTGATTTCATTAGATTTTAGGGACCAATATCCAGTGCTATTAAATATGAGTACAAATATACAGACACGTATATATTTAACCCTTTATTGAACCTATTTTTGAATAAAAACCATATTAATCCAATTAATTTCATAAAATAATCGTATCATTCTTTGATTTTTTCTATTTTCCTTAAAATTTTCAATCAAGATCCGCACTGCTCTAATTTTTCATAATAAGATTAAAAATTATTTAAAGAAAATCAAAGGAAATGATAGATAGAATTCAAATCAACCCCCCAACAAGATTAAAAATTATTCAAATCAAGATCCGCACTGCTCTAATACACATCCCCGTCTGTGTATTAGAAACATCTCCTGATGATGACATCATCATTTCTGGTATTATCATGGGAAGATATTCCCAATACATGGAAGAGATGTGATGTAAGATGTTGTGGGGGCTGATTTGATCTCGGATACATAGGGCTCAGTTATCTTACTGGTGCAAAACTTGGAACCTGGATTTTCTCCTCATATCAGATTCGAAATTAAATGAATCCGGCGCTTCAACAATTGTTGAAGCTCAAGGAAAATAATGAGGTCTGATAGGCTGTTGGAAGGACAACCTCCTTGTAAAGGTGGTGGACTCTTCTCAATGTTTCATAGAATTGCTGGTAACTGAATCCAGTCCGGGGGGTTCGAAATGGACTTTATTTTTTGTCTATGGTTATCCAAGCAGAGGTAACAGAGGGATTGGTTCCTGAATGAAAAATGTTACTCTCTACACCATGGATCTTGATGGGTGATCTAAATGACATCCTAGACAGTGGTGACTATGAGGGAACCAGTAGATCAATCCATGTTTCGAATCCTTTAAAAGAGTTGGTTAGGCATTTTGAGCTTCAAGCCTTGGGAAGTAGTGGGCCTTTCTTTACTTGGTCAAATAACCAATCTGGCTCAAAGAAAAACTAGACAGAACCCTAGCCAGTAATGCTTGGGTTGATCTCTTCTCAAAAGCAAAGCAATTTGTTCTTCCAGCTATAAACTTAGACCACTGACCTCTCCTCTTGGACACAAACCCTCCGTCTTTGAATGGGAAAAAATCTTTTCACTTTCTACCCATGTGTGCAGAACATGAAGAGTGTAGACTTATTATCACCTCTAGCTGGAAAAAAAATATAGAGGATCCATAGATTTTCAAATAACAAGGAAACTTAAAAGTATCAAAAAAAAAAAAGATTAGGGGTCTGGAGCAAAAAGGAGTTCGGAAACATTCATAAAAAACTCCGAGAGTTGGAGGAAGATATTGTAAAAACATAGCAATCATCCGATTCAATCAAGGATAAAGAGAATTTACAGTCCATGAACATATGGCTACAGTATGAGGAACATATATGGAGGCTAAAATCAAGGGAGTTGTGGTTAAAATAAGGGATAAAAATACCAAATGTTTTCATCTCAAGATCAAAAATAGAAGGAGATGGAATGGCATTGAAGAAAGGAGAAAATAATTGGGTCATGGTAATGAAATTCCAGACTGCTTTAAACAAAAAATGTTAAACGTTAGTGGGGAAGAAGAAATCTTTAACCCACAATATCTAGAAAGTTTAATTGACCCAGTCCTTAATGAGGAAAATCAAGCCCAACTCCTCCAAATCCCATCTCTAGAAAAGTTAATGTTAGACAGTGTGTGCCCTTAGCTCCAATCATAATGATGTACCTTATGACATTTAATGTAAATGAATAAAGTACATATTTGATTCATGTTATTGTGGTGTGTTTCTGTGTAATACCCTTAAACTGGACACATATGAGACTCGTGTTAGTTTAGAATGTTCACAGCCGTTGGATAAGTCTGGGGAGATTTATTCTGGCAAGGCTGACACTGATGTGCCGCCAAATTGGTTGGGGTAGCATGTCTCAGCTGCCAGGGTGAGACCCGAGGTACATGCAATGTAGGTTTACTTGAAACCCTGAACTGGACCAGATTTCCAATATTGCCGTGGACCTTGGAGATTGATGGGCAAAACTGGAAAGTCACACCTGACCCCTAGACTCGATTATGATATTGCACTAGGTGTCGGATTACAGGCGAGGGAGAGGTCCTCTCTTGTCGGGTAGTGTTCGATCATTATGGGCTGAGAGGTTAAGTGTAA